AATTTGGTCTTCGCGGATGATTTGTCGAACAAACGTCCAATTCTTAGTACTGAATGCGATCTAGAGTTGAGCTGAGCTGAATACTTCCAAAATTACCATCGATCCAAACTTGAGAAGACGAATACGCATTCCAGTAATATCTATGCCATTCAGGTATTGACATAGCTTTAGGGTTAATCTACTCACTTAAGTTGTGTTCCATAACTTTTAAAGGTAGTCCAATACCTATGCTTATTTGGATTCCTTAATTAATCCAAGACATTTACTTGATATAGGCCATAAGGGTATTTTGGTAATTTTGGTGTTCAGTTTTATTCCATTCATTTCAAAGCTCGAGGATATCCAATCATTCATGAGCTTGGTGATATTCTTGAGCCATTTCCATTACAGGGGTAATTTGGTCATTTTATAGATCTACGGTATTTTAATCTTTTCCCTCTATCCGATCTTATTATTTAATTCCAATTTATCATCTATTTCAGTCCCTTCGAACAATTCTGATAAAAGAGAACCCTCTGATAAATTGTTTTTAGGTATTTACTCATAACTCGGATATTTTCGGGTCAAATATCTTCTCAGATTTTACAAATGGAATATCAGGATTTTTTCTACACTAAGTCAGGATCTTAACAATCAAATACGTACTTAATTGAGTTAAGTATGAATCCTCAAAGTACTTTCTCATTCAGGGTCAACTCGGACTATTTTACCTCACAATGGTATTCTTGTAATTTCTTAACCAGATAATTTCAGTATTTACTCTTAACAAAAATAAATATAATTTAGAGATCCTATGGTTAATTTTTTTCCGGAACATTCTCAAATCTTGAATTGATTCCTTAACAGACTTCTAGTATTGTGCATAATCCCTCTTGGGGTTAAAAAATGGTTAACCGAATTTTCCAAGCAAAACTAACATTTCTTATGTACATCAGTAATTTGTACCGGATTAATATGTCTTTTTAGAGTTATTAATCAACTTCCAGGGACAATTATTGTCATCTTACAATATAAGGGTATTTTCATAATTTTACCCAATCAGAGTATTCTCATAATTTTTCATCATCTAAACCATAATCAGTTGCCAAATTTCTATTGTGTTCGGATCGAGTGTAAAAATTCATTAACTACAAAAATGAGACCAAAATTATCTTATTCATACATTTACCAATATTCACATGTTCCATAAAGCATAAAGACGTAGTAAAGTATTACCTCGATTTTTGTGTAATATTGATCGACTATTAAATTCCATTCGAACGCCCTTGATCTTGAAATCATCTTCCAATATTTCCTCGGATCCATATCAACAGAAATTACATAAAAACGGAGCTTAATTAAGATAAACGGATCGAATCGAGTGATAAATCAGTCAAAAACAGCTTACCGGGTTCGAATTTGGTGAAATGGACTTCGGATTCGGATTCAAGACATCGAAAACATAAAATATGACTTTTCAAAAATTTGGAATTTTCGGTCAAAATCGAAGTCAACGGGTTTGACTGGTAATTTTGAGGCCTTCGGTGTTGAATTTCGAAATACGAACTGCGGAATCGGATTTGGAATGTCGAAAAACGTCAGGATATGTATACTCGGTTAAAGTCAAAGGTCGTTTAATGCTTGGTCAACGCAGGAACAGTCAAAATTCGACCATTTTACAGAAATATCACCCTAACAGAAATTAATTACCAAATTACCACATTCTGCAAATATTTACTAAACTAACACTCGAATTTTACACAAATAGCACCCAAACATAAATTAATTACAACCAGATGATGCCCACTCTCGGGGGTGGCGCGTGGGGAACATGAACAGTAACCCGGTGTCGAAAAATTCCCAGAAAATTCCTAAAAATTATTTTAAGCGATTTTGAGACACTTACAAAGCTCGGTTCACAATTTTAAACGGCGGAGAGCTAGATTTCGAAACGTCGGAAACTTTGACAGTCTCACCCCTCCACGCTTAGGTGACGGCGGAGAAACGGAGAACACCGATGGACTTGGAACGATCCAAGGAACACGATGGTGCGGGAGGTGTCGTAAACGGATGACCCAATCGTCGTGAATCGACGAAAAATGAATTGAAATCGAGTTATTACCAATGATACTTCCGACTGAAATTAACGACGAACGGCGACGATTCATGACGAAAGGTTTGAGGGGTTTTGTTCCTCGGTCAACAACGAACACGATGGTGGTTTCGGTTCATCGATCAGAGGTCAGACGGCGAGTAGATCGGAGTTGAAAGGAAGTTAAGGAGAAGAGGAAAACTGGGAAATATGCGCAGAAAACATACGGGAATGAGTTTATAATTCATTCCAAAAGAAAAATGGGTAAACTATGAGTTTAGCCACTGAACTTCTTGCACTTCTTAAAATGGTCTGCCAACTTTACGATTTTATAATTTAATCCTCAATTTTCTTCCAAAATACCAATTAAATCCACCACTTTATAATTTCTAAAATTTAGCCCCTAAATATTGGTGTTAAAAGAGTGCTATGATGAAGAAATACAAGTAGAGGATTCAGTCAAGTGGGAGTCTTCCATGAAAGATGAGATGGTCTCGCTTATGTCAAATCAGACGTGGGAATTAGTTAAATTACCACTAGGCAAGAAAGCGCTCCATAACAAGTGGATTTACAGGATCAAAGAAGAACATGATGAGAGAAAACATTATAAAGCAAGATTGGTTGTCAAAGGTTTTCAGCAAAAAGAAGGTATTGACCACAATGAAATTTTCTCTCCAGTCGTGAAACTGTCTACAATCAGAATGGTTTTGAAAATTGTACCTGCAGAGAATCTACATCTTGAGCAGTTAGATGTAAAGACAGCTTTCCTTAATGGTGATTTGGATGAAGAAATCTATATGAAGCAGCCAGAAGGCTTAATAGAGGCAGGCAAGAAAAATCTGGTCTGCAGGTTGAAGAAGAACTTGTATGGTTTAAAACAAGCTCCTAGACAGTGGTACAAGAAGTTTGATAGTTTCATGGGTAACAATGGTTTTACCAGATGCCAAGCAGATCATTGTTGCTATATCAAGAAGTTCGACAACAACTTCATTATTTTATTGTTGTATGTTGATGACATGCTTGTTGTAGGTTCAAACATGCTTGTTGCAGGTTCAGACATGCAAGAAATTATAAACTTGAAGAAAAAATTGTCGAAGCAGTTTGCAATGAAGATATGGGCGCTGCAAAGTAGATTCTTAGGATGAAGATCAAGAGAGACACAAAGTCAGAGACTCTGATGTTATCACATGCTGAGTACATCAACAAAGTACTCTACAGGTTCAACATGCAAGATGCTAAACTAGTAAGTACACCTTTAGGTGTTCATTTTAGACTCTCCAAAGAACAGTCACCAAAGACGGAGGAAGAACGTGCACACATGGTGAAGGTGTTGTATGCCTCAGCAATTGGAAGTTTGATGTATGCCATGGTTTGTACTAGACCAAATATTGCTCGTGCAGTGGGAGTTGTTAGCAGGTACATGAATAATCCGGGCAAGGTATATTGGGAAGCAGTCAAATGGATCCTCAGATATCTACGAGGTACTACAAACAAATCACTTTGTTTCAAAGGTGGAGATACGATACTGACAGGCTATGTATATGATGACTTAGCCGAAAATGTCGACATCAGAAGAAGCACTACAGGGTATGTCTATACTCTAGGAGGAACTGCAGTGAGTTAGGTTTCTTAACTATAGAAGATAGTTGCTCTCTCCACAACTGAAGCAGAATATGTCGTTGTTACGGAAGCCAGTAAGGAGATAGTTTGGCTCCAAAGTTTCTTGGAAGAGTTAGGCAAGAAACAAGAAAACAATGTCTTATATTGTGACAGTCAAAGTGCTATCCATCTAGCGAAGAATCTGTCTTTTCATTCTAGGACGAAGCATATACAATTGCGATATCATTTTATCCAGTCTCTTCTGGAAGATGGGATTTTGAAACTTGAAAAGATTAGTGGAGCTCAAAATCCGGCAGACTTGTTGAAAAAGACGGTGACAACGGACAAACTAAAGTTGTGTTCAGCTTCAGTTGGCATGCTAGAGTAACAGGAGCAGAAATACTGTTGCATTGATCGAGGTGTGAAGACAAATTAAAAGCAGTCTTCAAGTGGGAGATTGTTGAAAAGTATGAATTGAGTTCATCAATTCTAGAAAGGAAGTCGGTTTGTATTTCAAAGTTTGGCACCGCCAAACTTGGGCTTCAACAAAGGAGCAGCAAATTTTTGAAAAATGAATAGGGTTAATTATAGTTTAGTCCCCACACACTTTAGGTTATTTACAAGATTAGTCCTTAAGCTTCAACTATAAATACCCTAGCCCATTTAGCTTCAAAATCATCCCAAAAATCATTTATTTCTCCCAATACTAAAGAGTTTAGAGAGTTCTCTTGTGAGTAGTGAGTGTTTTGTAAACACCTGTAAATTTTCTCTCTTTAGTAAAAGATCTACAGCAGTCCAGAGACGTAAGCAAAATTGACTGAACTCCGTAATCAATTTCGGATATTATTTTTTTCCGTTTTTATTTCGCATTCTCACTAATCTGGTTATAGGGAAATTACTTGTTTATTTCCCAACACATGATTGGTACGAAGCTTCTTGGACTTGAATTATGCTTTTTGTTACTCCAAATCCCCCCTTTTTTTTTTCTTGAAGTATCAGTATTCGATATTCGTATTTGATGTTTATGCAGCTATTGGTATGACGATAGGTCCCTCCAAATCTATGGAAAAAAATGTATATATACGTATCGAACATACTGATATCTAACACTAGCATCCAAATTCAAGTTTCTAATACATAATCATGGTTGATATAGAACTCCAAATACATAAAAACTGTATAAACAATAAACATACCCGTATTGGATGCATGCGCATATCCTATTCTCACACTCAAATTCAAGTTCATAAATCTAAGTCAATTCTTTTGTTTGTTTAGCTTTGCTTTCCTTAGCAGTTATAATTTATCCCTTCCCCTTTTTTTTCTATACATGCATCATCTTACTATATGTGCAGGCGCACCGGCAAGGACAGTTGGATGGCGTGATCCCGGATATATACATAGCAGCTTTCTGAAAGATTTGTGGCCGAATAGAATGTAAGTGACTATGTTGCTCCGTCTCTTCACTCTTTAAAGATGCTTGTGAGTTGTGATTTCTAAAACTTGCATGCAAGTTTAATTCAATGAAGTTTCCATTTACTGTGTAGGTACACCTACAAAGTGGGGCATAGATTGTTCAACAATACATACATTTGGAGTGGAGAATACCAGTTTATAGCATCTACATTTCCTGGTCAGAAATCTTTGCAACGTGTAGTCATTTTTGAGGATATGGGAAAGGTTCGAATTCTATTTTGAACTTCTGCATGCATTTTCAAGTATGAAACTGCATTTCCCTCAGTTTTACTAAAATCATTTTTTTAGCTCCCTAATGCAGCATTTTTTATTATACTCTATCTCACACCTAGTATCAAGAAACACTTGGTTACATTTTTTATTTCCAAACTTTGAATTTACAATCCCGACTTGTAGTTTCTTGAAGTTGAAACTTTCATCTTGCAGGATGAAGCTGATGGCTCTAATGAATACGACAATTTCCAGCCGGACTCTCTAAACACTACTAAACAGCTTATCAAAGATCTGAAAAAAATTGACATAATCTTCCACGTTGGAGATATATGCTATGTTAATGGTATCGTAATCGCTTTTCGCCCGGGAAAGAATTTTTATTTGGCGGGAAAAATAAAACGAATAAATAAATGATTTTGATTTAAAAAATATTTTGGGAGTCGCCATTGACCTTTTTGGGTTAGGTATGTCAAATACCTAAAAATAATCTTTTAAAATAGTTTTTAAGAAAACATAATTTAAAAGATAAACTGATCTGCGTATAACCAAAAAAATTTAATAAAAAGGATTCGTGGTCGGTTACGTTTAGGGAATTATTAGCACCCCTATAACGCCCAAAATTAGTACTCATTAATTATAATTTGTCTCTATTATTGGAAATTTAAAAATTCAAAGATATATTTAATTTTTAATATTATTATTTCAAATTTATAATTTTATGAAAATATATTAATTTCAATATAAATAAGATATTTATTTATTTAGAAATATCATAAAAAGACTTCTAGGTGCTTTAAGACAGCTCTTTTCTTAATATTAAAAAATAAATAAATATTAAAGCATTTATTTAAAATAGATATAATTTATAAAAGTAATATATTTAATTATTTAAAATATCAGAAAATGGACATCCAGTTGTTTTAAGACTGCCCTTTCTTAATATTTAAAAACATAATTAAAATAATTTAAAAAATAATTTATAAAATTTATAAAAAGGATTATAAATAAATATTACTTATTGTATATATATTTATATGAATAAATAATAATAATATTCAAATATTAAGAACATATAAAAATAAATAATAACTAAAATCAATATATATATATATAAATAATAATAATACTTATAATTAAATAAAGGTATTAAATGGCTAAATTATAAAATTCTTAAAATTAGATTCCTAATTTACCAATAATTATTTAATATTCTAGTGACTAAACATGCAATTTTACTCGTATTATTTATTTATTTATTAAAATAAAATTGTGTAAAATTTGAACATCAAATTAAAATAAATTAAAACATGCTGTTCGGGATTAAAATATTAATTTCTAAAATTAAAGGACTAAATCTGTTATTTATTTAAAATATATATAATTCCGGTTAAGGACTAAAATACATATATGTAAAATTCGAAAATCGAATTAAAATAATCTAAAATTTAATTTAGTGACTAAAATATAAAGTTATAAAACGGATGGACTACGGATGGGGTTTACCCATATGTGAAATTACACAGATACCCTCACCAAAATGGCGTCGTTTTGATGAGGGTATTTATACCCATTTAAGCCGGACCCAAGGGCCACCATTCTCATTTCTTCCTTTCTTCTTTTCTCTCTAACAGAGAAAAAAAATTTTATCTATGTCTTCTCTCTAAACCCTCCACCGGAGGGAGACAAATTCTGGCCGGCAGCTGTGTTCCGGCACCGGTCACCACGGTGGCTGGAAACTTACAAAATACCCCAAAACTTAGATCTTAATTTCTAAGTCTGAATAAGGCCTTTATTTATCCTAAAAACCCTTAAGATTTCCTAGATCTATGATTTTAGCTTCGAAGTTTGAAGGTTTCCGATGATGTTTCGAAGTCTCCGATGACCGAGTAAGCTCTCTCTTCTTTTTTCTTTTGGCTTCTGGTTGTTGTATTGTTGGTTGTTGTCTGCTTGTTTCTGTTTTGCTCTCTTTTTTTTCTTCTCTGCAGGAGATGGCCATTTATAGGCCTCGTCGGTGTCTTCTTCGGACCAGTTAAAGGAATGGCCCTCGGTGAGTCACCGAACTACGGTGGTGACTCACCATAGGGTAGCAAAGTGGACAAGGCAGCTGGTTTCTAGAGGCTTCAACTTGGCAGCAGGGAGTTGGATCACATGGCAGTGCTAGAAGCTGTTGTAACTGATGCGTGGAGGGGCTGCTTGTTGGAAGCTGCTGGAAATGATGCGTTGGGGGCTGCTGGATGGAGGGGGCTGCTCGGGTAAAAAATTAGTGTCTATAGCTGCCCCTGTTTGCTCATTCTTGTGTTAACAAGAATAGGGCAAAGATGAAAAGACCATAAATTTTTGTTCATTTGACTTCTCTTGATTAAGATGGAAATGTTGAACTAGTTCTTCTTTGTTTGGATTAGTTCTTCACATTATGAACTCTTCTATTCTTCCACTGGGGATGACAATTTATCTTCTTCTATGATGTAATCTAGAAAAAAGTTGAACAAATTCTTCTCATTATGAACTTCTTCTTCTTTTTCAGATGAGTTCTTCTCATTATGAACTCCTTCTGGAAATGCTGATCTTCAAAAGAGGGATTTGTTGATTCAACTCCATATGTGATGAATTAAGGTAAGGTTGAACAAATTCTTCTTATTATGAACGTCTTCTTCCTCTTCAGATGAGTTCTTCTCATTATGAACTTCCTCTGAAAATATTGATCCTCAAATGAGGTTCTTCTTTCATTCAATTCCATAGGAGATGAATCAATGCAAGGTTGAACAAGTTCTTCTCATTATGAACGTTTTCTTCCTCTTCAGATGAACTTCACCTGGAAATAGCTCTGCTGCTCTATCTCTTTCTGAAAATGGAGTCAAGCAAAAGGTTGAACAAGTTCTTCTCATTATGAACTTCCTCTTCCTCTTCTAATAAGTTCTTCTCATTATGAACTTTCTCTGGAAAAGTTGGTGTTGCTCTATCTCCTTCTATGATAGAGCCATGCAAAAGGTTGAACAAGCTCTTCTCATTATGAACTTCTTCTTCCCCTTCAGATAAATTCTTCTCATTATGAGCTTTCTCTGGCAACGCTGATCCATCGGGTGATGAATTTGAGCAAAAGGTTGAACAAGTTCTTGTCATTATGAACTTTTCCTTCCTCTTCAGATGAGTTCTTATCATTATGAATTCTTCTGGAAATATTGAAAACATTCTGCCCATAGGTCTTATGAATGGCCCTGAGGTCTTATCATCTTGCACTGTAGGGCTTACAGATGACCCTGAGGCTTTAAGATCAAAAAGCTCCCGAAGACTTTTTTGAAAACATCATGCATTGTAGGTCTTACAGATGACCCTGAGGCTTTAAAATCAATAAGCCCCCGAAGGCTTTTTAAAAACATCATGCACTGGAGGGCTTACAGATGTGGGAAATAGTTTACTAAGTAAGAAACTATGGAAATCATTTTCTTACTATTCAATAATTTCATTTTTAGAAAAGATTAAATGAGAAACTTTGGAAATCATTTTCTCATTGAAATAACTTGTTGATTGGGTAACATGTCCCATTTTAAAATAATGCTTCTTCTATGGATTGCGTCCATCTATTCTTCATATATTTGCGTGATTTTTGTATTTGAGGTTTTGAATTATACCTTCTTCTTGTAAGGTATTTTTCATCATGAATCTTCTTGTTCATATGAAGATCTGTAAAACTTCATTTTTGAATGTAATTAAATGTAGCAATGTAATGCATTTTCTGTTATGCAAATGATGTTATTATGAATGCATGAATGTTTATGCAATCTTCATTTGACTTCAAAGTGGTGAACTCGGTCTTCTTTCACTTCATCATTTTATTGACAGGGTTACATTTGGATATCAGTGTAGCAATCTATGTCATAAAGCTGAAGAACCATTTGATCAACTTGTATCTTTGTGTCTTCTTTGTTTTATTTAAGTCTCAGAAGAAATATTTCATTTATGGAACTCTTGTCGTAGTCAGAACTATGACCTTGATGCCCCATTTTGTCTTTGATAACATCGGCTTTCTTTATCTGGACTTGTGTAGAAATTCAATAAAACTTTCATCTTTGAAAAGAAAATCTATCATCTTTGAAGAGTGTAGATGTAGATATGCCTGACTCAGCAGGGATTAATTAGGAGAGTAGAGTGTTTTCTGATTTGACTCTTGAAACACATCATAAGGAGGATTTATCTTAATTCCTTTCAAGTCTCCACAGCTAATCAGATCTCGAACAAGGCAACTTGGACCATATCATGTCAAGATGCTTAACAACCTGTCGTTCGACCTTAGTTGGCTCCACTAGTTTTTTGTTGTTAAAATTTCTGCTTCCTTTCTGTGGAAAGAAATCTTCATCATATCTCATTTCTAATCTTGAGGTCAAAGAAGACAGACTTCATCTTGAATCCATAAATGGAAATACCATATGATTGCAACATTTGGTTCAGCACCATAATAACTAGTTCGTAAAACATTTGATAACATATTCATCATCTCATATGGTTTCTGCTCAGATGTTTGTAAAAATTTGACAACACATTCATCCTTTTATGTGGATTCTGCATAGATGTTTGTAAAACATTTGGCAATACATTCATCCATTTCTGTGGATTCTGCATAGATTTATGATCAATGAAACTCTTCACATAGTGTTCAAAGCTTTTATATGATGTAACAAAACCACTTGAAAACAAGTGTGATACCGATCACGTTTTCTTCCGTAATGAGCATTGTAGGAAGTAGAAACACATCAATTATAGGATCCATGTACATAAGGAGGTTCATGGAATTCTTATTGTTGTAGATGAAACGCACATGATAAACCAAATAGATGAAAATTCAGTTCACCCTGGCTGGCAATGATAACCCCAGTAACAGCGGGAATAAGAATAACATAAGCTGAGCCTCTTTATTCAATGTCATCAAGTAAGCAAAAATTATTGTGAAAAACATCTTCGTAGCCCCAACAGTATGATTGAAACTAACTTCCAGGAATCTCAAAGAAATATTTCCAATCATCACCGAAACAAATAATACAAAATTCAAAGTCGAGATTTTGAGGAACTGAACCCTAGATTGAATGGTCTATATGGGAACCATCTTTATTCATGCAACTTTGATGTATCTTAAAAAAGATCACGCAGTCATGTAAATCATGGTCAAGAAGATTGGGTATTTGAAACCATATTTGTTGAGTAAATATTTGTTCAACACAGGACCCTAATGCAACTGCCTGATGAACGAAGATATTATGTATAGTCAGCTCCATTGTCACTGTTTCTCCATTTTTATTCTTCATACCTTTCTATCTCATTAGAAATATTTTCTCAAGTCAATGATCTTTCCATAAGATGATATGGATCTTTCAGCATGTCCCAACATTGGCTAATACAAACATTCAAAATACGTCAACATTCCTCATTCTGATTGAAATGGGCTTTCAGCATGCCCCAGCATTTGCTTCTTGTTGATGTGAGCTTTCAAAATACCCCAAATATTTATATACTGACATGGGCCTCCAGAATGCCCCACATGAATCATTTATTTCTGAAATGGGCTTTCAAGATGTCCTGCATGGATCTGTCTGAATAGGGCCTTCAAAATACCATCAACCTTCTAAAATGTAAGGCTTACTCTCAATGTTTGTTTGATTTCAATATCATGATCCTCACGAGGTCCAATTTTTTCTAATGCCCCATTGCGGGTACTCGTGGCTCTATCCGTGCCCGAAATCTGTTAATCTTGAATGCTCTCATTCTGGTATTACAAAACATCATTGTTATCAAGTAATTTGAGGAATTCTCTTTATGTTGTCACAAACTTAAGAAGTAATCAATCATTCTGACAGAAATGTCTGAGATATGTGCCTCTTCTGAATAAGGTGCCCATTATTTGGATCTGGAGGGATCTAATTGAATAGAATGGTGTAAATCTCTTGGTAATTCATTTCAGGTTGACACGGTGAACCTTGTTTTCAGTGAAGGTTCTTAAAAAATTTGCACCTATGCAACACGTTGACTCTGATAACTACTCATCTTATTATGAAGCGATCTTTTAGGATGATTTCACAGATATTGATAGTTCTTCTGATACCGAGGAAATCCGGAATTCTGATTCTGATGAGGAGAATAAACTGTTATACTTGACAAAAATGGGGTACTCAAAGGCTGAGGCCTCAATAGTCATGGAGAGATGTGGTCCAGATTCATCAATTACAGAGTTGATAGATTTTATATGTCTTGCTCAAATGGCTAAAGTTACTGACGCATTTCTTCCAGTAGAAGGTAGGAAGCCTTTATGTAATGACCCCAATTACAAGAAAAGGCAAAACTCGGGCTATGATTTTTTTGGAAAAGGAAGAAGCAAATAAAGCTTGTAAAAGAAGCTTCTTAATGAAGAAGACCATGCATTTCATCTTCTAAATCTAATGATTGGTTTGGGGTTCCTATCGAATCTGATCAGATAACTCAAAGAACACTTCCAGAAAATGCTATTGGGCCTATTTATTTCTACAATAAGAACGTGGCACTTGCTCCAGTTGGTGTTTGGACCGAAATGTCATGATACTAATACGATGCAGAGCCAGAATTTATAGATTCGAAGTAGTTTTGTGTTGTTGGAAAAGGGGTTACATTCATAATCTGCCAATTGATAACAGATTTCCTCTTATTCCGCTTCCTCCACGCACCATACATGATGCTTTTCCATTGACAACAAACTGGTGACTTTCATTTGAATGTCCAGAAGTATGTTCTTGATGATTGCCGAAAATGGAATTTGGTATGGGTTGGGAGAAATAAAGTTGCTCCATTTGAACCTGATGAGGGGGAAATGCTTCTAGGTTTCCCTAAAAACCATACACGAGGAGGAGGATCTGCTAGAGACATGTTCCCCGATGGTATCAATGTCCTGTCTCTTTTCTCTGGGATCAGTGATGCAGAGGTTGCCTTTTACTGTCTTGGAATACCTTTGAAAACAGATGTGCAAGAACTGAATGATGATCGGTTGGAGCAATTGATTAGTAGATTTCGCAAATTTGACCTTGTTGGTGGTGGAATCCCATGTAACAACCTTACCGGAAGAA